GAGGGGGGGGGGGGGAGATAAGGACGCTAGATGTTTGACAGTAAAGAAGGAACAAACAATATCAGAGCACCCGCCAACCAGAACACCCGCCAACCACCCACACTAAAGTTTTTTGTTTTTTCACGGTGATAAAAGCAGTCCGTGTTATGAACAGCAGGTGTACACATATATCAGGGTGAAAGGATAGCCTCGTTTAACCCTATCCGTACGCCGTGTTTTACTATCTTATCCTTATACGACGTGGGGAACTCTGTGCCACCACTTAACCCTATCCGTACGTCGAGTTTTACTATCGTGTCCATACGACGTGGGGAACTCTGTGCCACAACTTAACCCTATCCGTACGTCGTGTTTTACTATCGTACCCATACGACGTGGGGAACTCTGTGCCACCACTTAACCCTATCTGTACGTCGTGTTCTACTATCGTATCCATATACGACGTGGGGAACTCTGTGCCACCACTTTCAAAGAGGAATTTTACTCGTTAATCCGATCCGTACGCTTTGCATAGCAGTCAGTCAAAATTACTTTTTGAGAAATATTGAAAGTTTCAAAGAGATCTTTGTACTAGAAGTATTCTAAAATGTGAAGAATGCAACCCCAGGGGTACAAAATGACCCCAGGACGTACTGATAGGGTTAAGGCTATTCCACGGTAACTGATTAGATATTCGGACTATACTTTCTTACAATGACAACACTGTAATTCAATATCAATTAATTCTTTTCAACTTTAAATGATCAGAACATTTGAAAGACATATTAACATATTAAATGCAGTCATTTGGAAAAAAAAATACTTAATGCAAATCCTGCGTGACGTGCTTAGTTTCGGTAACGGACAGGACAAGAGGTATTTTTCTGACCCGTCTGTTAACCGTCGTGGAATACCTCTAAAATAAGTAGGCCTGAAACAAGTATGGTTGCTAGTGCTGGACGGCTAGGTTCCCGATTATTGAAAGCTAGGAATCGTAGGACTCGACTCCGAACCCAATTACTTTCTTTCTAATGATGTGATTTTTTCCGGTGGCTACCTGGTTAGCTCCGAACATCTTCATGATTTATAATAACCTTGATTTCGGAACTTTACGAAGCATCAACTTTTTTTTTTTCAATATCAAATTCTTCAACAAAAAAGAAGAATTTAATGAATAAGTAACTGGTAACCGTTGGTTTGCAACAACAAAAAAGGAATCAGAACTTTTCTTCCGTAGCATTATTTGTGGAAATCGTTTCCGGACTTGATTCCGCGCCCACCTCTGGTTGCAACATTATGGTTCACATTTTCCGAAGCACTTTTGCACCCCCTGTACACAGGACCAGGTCATAAAGCAGAGCACGTAAGATAAACATGACCAGGATCAGACTAAGGGGAGTTCTATTTCAACACGGTATTGTCGACTTTCACCACAGTCTTTCTCACAACAGTTCTTGGATTCAGAGCGCCTGGTCAAAGCCGGTAAGCCGAGATCTATTTATTTCTGCTCCGATATTTTAATGTTGGTAATAATTAATAATAAGTAGCATATTATAACTTATGCAATGCATTTCCATTTAAAAAATACAACTGCTCAATGCGCATCACATTAATCAAGATATCCCATCTTAAATCT